AGCAACCTGTGAACCAGATCCAGCCCACAGGCCTTGAGTTTGACATTCCTGATCCAGCAGTTCAATCCTAATACTGCAGGGCAAGGTGAACTCCCATCACTTGCTTCAGATACTGCCCACCTAGCTTTTTGAAAGCATGCTATATAAAAAAACTTTCCTGAGGAAACAAGTTTCATGTGGATGCTTAGAATCCTGCTGGTGCTGGACCTTCCCTGTTGCAATGCCTGTTTGTGAGGGAGTTTTCTGTAGAGAGAGGGCCCAGATGTTATTGCAGGGAATTTTCTTGTTTTTCTTTCTGGTACAGAGCTAGATTTCCCTATCTGACACACTTGGAAAGTCTGTAAGCATGAACTAACAGGGTTAGTAGTCCTAGGCAGCCAAACTACTCTTCAGTATTAGCATTGTAGTTTCCTGGCTAATGTAACATTGCCATATGATAAATAAAAATAACAACACATCAACCCAGTGGAGAAACCAAGATGACTTATTGACAACAAGAGTTTTGTAATTGCAGCATATAAATGCAATAAATAAATACAACAAATTAAAATCTAAAGGAATTAAGGTGTGATGAAAACCAACAGTCCCACACAAATGTGGAACTAAATGGTTTTTGGAATAATTTTGGAACAACTAGACATGTAATGAAATGAGAAGCTGGGTTTCTGTTTTATAAGTAGTATCTTTCTATGTGTCTTCTATCTTGTCATCTTCTGGTGTATCAAACAGATGGTGAACTGGAACAACGGGAAAAGATTATTTGGATTCTTCTACAAGGTGTACTTTAGGAGGTCTGGGTGGCGGGATTGTGGCTTGATTTTTATATTTTCTCATCATATAGTACTGGTCTTCGGTAATCTCTTCTACAATTGATTTTATTTGGGGATGCACACTATCGTCTGGATATTCTCTCAGCAATTGGAAGGACATATTTAAACAGTGCACAGAAACTTCCCAAATCTCTGTGGGATTATTGAGATTGCTGATTAACAAGTAAGAATCGTTGATTTTCTCTTCAAGCTGCAGATAGGGAATGCCAACCAAAATATCCTCCTGAGTGGAAAGATCCCTTATGCCAACTGTGACATTTAATGGAAGGTGGGAATTGTTGCAAAGCTCAGAAAGATCATATTGATTCTTATCATGCACAACTTCATTAAAGCCTCCTTCCATGAACATCGGAAGAAGGACGGTCTTATTGACTTTATTTGGCAAGATAATTTGTTCACAAGGTAATGCAGTCTCCACACACTTCCTTCCATATTCAACAACTTGGCTTTTCTGGTACTTGGGAATCAAAAAATTATCCCCAACAGAAACAGAGCACATATCTTCATGCGGACAGTCAAAAGCTTTTGTAGCTACAACATGAAGCTTTTCCTTCATGTCCCTTGCTATTTCCAGGTCATAGGCAGTTGGGAATTCACGAGGTTGTCTCTTGAATTTCCCCTTGTAGCTCTCAGGAATTAAAAAGTATCTTTTAGAGGAGTTATTCTTGATTTCAGAAGCTAAGATTCTTCCAGCCTGAAACTTTTTGTAAATTACTATTTCTCTGCCAGGACACAGGAAATTATAAGAATGCTTGTTTCCAATGGAGTCTTCAATTATAGCAACAACAAAAGGGGATCCATTCTCTGCCTTTTCTAATATATCTTTCACTGATAATTGCTGGAGAAAAGTATTAATATTGTAATGGTCAGTGACATCTTCAACTTCAATATCTAAATCAGAATGGAAATGAACGATCTCTTTTTGAACTGGAAAAGAAAGATAGAAACAAAATTCTGGTCAGTTTTTAATGGTATAATGGTGCTAAATACCCAAAAGCCCGTTATATAAAAATTAACAGATTTGGATATCTTTAAGAAAACTTCCTCTCTCTGTTGTTTTTTTTTCTTGTTTTTTGTAGGTTAGGTAGTAAGGTGCTTTCAGACAGAAAGTTGCTATAAACTATATCACATTGCATTACTATAAAGCAGACTATGCAGTATTGCTTTGTCAGAAAAGCTGTGAGAATATTGAGGCAAATGTTCAATGAAAGGTGCAATCAGTTGAACCTTTCACCTCCATGAAATTCATCAGAAGAAGCAGGCAGCCATACAATAGGAGTTTCATTTTGGGCAATTCCACACTTCAGTCTAAGTTGCTAGTTCCCCTTGCAGTTCCTGGGTGTTTCTGAAACCAACTTCAGAAATCCCAGTTAGTAATTAGCCCATGCTGGAACTCAGTCTAGATTATGGCCAACACAAGCCCTAAGTCAGGGGTGTCAAACTGGCAGACCATGAGCCAGATCCATCACACGCAGGCCACACTCACCCCAGCTCCGCAAAGGCAAAAAACCCATCTTGATACGTCTTGTGACATCAACCTGACACAGCCAGTTTGACACCCGTAAGTGGTCGTTCCCCGTTTCCTGCCTTTCCAGTCCCCTTGCCTTTCCTAGATGTTTGCATACATGGAAGTCTTCATATACCCTTTCCCATATATTTCCTTTGATACAAAGGCAAGTCCTTCCTTTGTTTTCTTTCCCTCCCCTTTTGGCACCATCATTGCTTTGAGGTGACAGTAGTCACAACAATGGAGAAGAAGTTGTTCTTTCTCTCCTACTTCCTTCTGTTGGAAGAACCATTGGAAATAGCAAGGAAGAATAGCTTAGCTTAATAGAAACAAAGTTGTAATATAAATATATTTTTGAGCCATGGTGGCACAGTGGTTAGAGTGCAGTACTACAGGCTACTTCTGCTGACTACAATTTGGCAGATCGAATCTCACCAGGCTCAAGGTTGACTCAGCCTTCCATCCTTCCGAGGGTGGTAAAATAAGAACCTCGATTGTTGGGGACCATAGGCTGACTCTGTAAACCTCTTAGAGAGTGCTGTAAATCACTCTAAAGTGGTATATAAGTAAGTGCTATTGCTATTTTTAAGAATAAAGAAAAGGGGATAAAATCTCTATAGCAGTAGAATGAAGGGATAGAAAAGCAAGGGGAAAATGCCTCACTTGTCCAGAAACTATAAAGAATGTGACCATTGGGAGAGAAAAGAGGTGAGGGATATATAAGCTTCTGGGGCTGGGGTTCATTGTTAATAGACTTAATGGGCTATTATTGAATCAAGTAAAAGATTATTGGGGAGGAGTATGAGCAACTGCTGATCAATAAATAACACAACAGCCCAGCAATCCAGGATTAATTAGCTGCCTAGGGCAATGACCAGCCACTATAAGGGGGAGGCTATTCCAGGGACTGCAGCCAATCAGAGCTGAAGATGCTAGCAGGTTTGACAAAGACCTGTAGGCCATCTATTTTGAAGGGCTTAAGATATCTTGGGTCAGAAAACAGCAGTTTTCAATGGAAGCTGGAAAATCCATCCATCCATCCATCCATCCATCCATCCATCCATCCATNATCATCCATCTATCTACTAGCTATCTGTCATCTATCATCTATCTATATCATCATCATCATCTGTCATCTATCATCTATCTATATCATCATCACCATCTTTCTCTCTCCTATATATCTCTTTGTTATTGTTAGTTGCAAAGTTGTGTCCAACTCCCCGCGATCCCATGGACAATGTTTCTCTAGGCCTTCCTGTCCTCTACCATCCTCTGGAGTCCATTTAAGCTCACACCTACTGCTTATCCCAATACTTTGCATTATATTTCCATAAGTTACTCTCATTGTAAACCATTCTTGCTTTTACCTGATTGATACTTTTCCCCCATGAATTTCATTAGGAGTTCATCGCCTGGTTTCTAGGGTTTTGATGATTTTGGACTCTGATTAGCTGCTACTTAATGCTATATCAACCTGCAATAAACCGCACTTTCTCCACCATTTAATTGAGGATGAGAGGGCTAACCTAGTCTGTATCACCAAGACCTGAAGGGTGTATGGAGGTTGCCCTCTATAAAACTACCTTCCTGGGCTTCAAGGATAGCATCAGAACAACTCCAGGACAAGGTGAAGATGTGGCTTTTGTTATTCATGAGTCCAGAGGCCTCAAGTGGCCCTGCCCAGACATCACTGGATATGATAACCTTTTTGGTGCTGTAGGAATCAGAACAAATTGCTATTCATGTACTTTCTTCTCTGATGGGCAGAGAAGACCTATACGTCCTACCTATATTCCTAGATTCTGTGTTGGGGTTGTTGATGGAGTTCCCAGGCTTATGATTCAAGACATAAGGTACATATTGGTACATTTTTTCCATCACACTGAAGGTAGGTAGTAAGGCAAAGGTTGATGTCCATGATTCTGGGTATTATAATCTTAATGTATTTGACCAGGGTGAATCCTGTATGTAGATAGCATGGACCTGATATGTACAAGAAATCATTGTTATAATAAAAAGGGATCAACTAGAAATAACACATGCAACCAACAACATTTTTAAAGGAACAGCATTCAGAAGGGAAGAACAAACAACAAGACATTTCCCCTTCCTGAATAACCTCATCTGTAGAGGAAATGATGGCAGTTAGAAATATAAGTCTATCAAAGAACAATCCACAATAAGTGCTCCTTTATCATTACCATAACAATCCATCATCCCATCAGAAGCTGGGTAAGAATTTTAATTTTTGGAAAACAACAAAAGGGGAGCTAGAATGTGGACTTTGGAAAGTTAAGGGGCTAGACAAACTCGAAGGAACATTTTAGAAAAAAAGATATGAAGATTTTGAAATTAACTATTAGAAATCCTCCCATGGGAAAGTTTTATTTAAAAAAAATAAAAATGTAAGAGGAGTCTTTAAAGATTGACTAAATTGCTATTAGAAAGAACAGGAAGTTCCTGTTCGTATTGTATTGTGTAAATGTGGTGTATGTCTAGGTTTTGTGTGTGTGTATTTTACACGTTTGTTAATAATTTTTTTAAAAAAAAACATTAAAAAATTGACTAAAGGGAACTAGAGAGAACTAAAGATTGCAATTAAAAGTGAAATACAATAGAGCAGTGATCGTGAACCTTTTCGGCACCAAGTACGGAAAAGGGAGTACACATGCACACACACGCAGGACCGAGTGCCGAAAAGGGAGTACTTCACATGTGTGTGTGCTCATCTGGGACACACCCAGGAAGAGGAGCTGTCCAAGGGACATGCCTGTGCTGGAAAAGGAGCACCTGGTTTCCAGCGCTCAAGTCTTCTGGTTACTGGGTTTCCAGCACTGCTGCATGCATAAGCGCCAGCTGATCATTACGTCCACATGTGCACCAGAAACCCAGAAGAGGAAGAAAAATCCTGGCAATATGGCTCTGTGTACCACTTCAGGCATAGGTCATAGGTTTGTCATCACAGCAATAGAGCGATACTGTGATTCTTACTTACTGTGAAGAAATTAAGGCTGTTTGGAAACAGTTACTCAAAAATTATTTGTGAGATTGTCTGATACTATAAAAGTGGATATAACAGGATTTAAAAGAAGAACTGATTTTTACTGATTTTTTGAAAGTGGATTTGGATTTGTTTGTTTTTAAAGAAATCCCATGCTACAAGAGTAATATTGAAAAGATGTGGATTAGAAAATGGATTTAAAATGGCAGACTACGAAAGTAAAATAGATAAGTATGCTACAATAGATTTACGTTTGAAACTGCCTGATGTTTTAATAACTAAAGGGGGTGAATAAAAATAAATAAATCAGACAAATTATTTGGAAAGCTTTTTTATTTTAGATTTACAAAAGGGCTGTATTACTACTAAAATTCTTCCTAAAAGGAGACAAAAAGAAAACAAGAGTTTTCTTTTTAGTTTAGTTTGGGGGTTATTATTTGATGGGATTAAAGATCAACCTTTTTAAACACAAGGAATGTATGGTGAACATTTTTGACCACTTATTTGAGATATAGTTTTTGGTAACTATTAATGGAATTTCATTTTGATCAGAACTGAGTAACAAGGTTTCAAATATCTGTTAATAAATGAAAATAGATTTCTTTTGCTATATTTCATAGAAAAGTGATGAGTTGGAATACAAAATTGATTTCTTTGATTCAGGTTAAAATAAGTAAGTTACAATTTTTGGTTCTTAATTGACTTTTGTTGATTAGAACTGCATTATGAGTTTTTACAATCTGATTATTAATAAGGAATGTGATATGGGAAGAAGAATTTTTTAAACATTGTAATACTAAAAAAGGTGTTAAATTATTGAAGTTTACATTGATATAGATGGAAGGGAAATGATCTTTTATATATCTTTTTCCTTATTTTTTATTTTCTTTTTTCACTCTCTTTGTACTTCTCTTTTTCTCAATTCAGTTTATATTGTTTTTCAATTTGTGTTATTCTTTTACTTTTGTATTGCAAACCTTAATAAAATTATTTCAAAATAGGAAAAGAAGTGAATATATTATTCTCATACTTTTAAAACTAACATAGTGGATACATCATGAACGGATTGGAAGAGATGACAGTGTGAATTAGACTAACAAAATCAGATATGCAGGAACCCTAACTTTGTTAGCTGAAAGTATAGAAGATTTTGAAGAACTCTGTTGTGTCCTCCCAGTGCAGCTGACAGCCGAAGCCAGAGCTGGAAGAAGAGCTGATTGGCTCTGGCATGGATGCCGGCCGGCGGGAGAATTGCTGTTTCCTGATTGGTTCCCTGCCTGACAGCTGTCAAGTATAAATAGCTGTCAGGCGGGCGCTGGTTCTTGTTCTTGTTCTGAAGTGTTCTGTGTTACAATAAAAGCCTGTTTGAAAGAACCCTCTCCTAAGTGCCTGAGTTTTTAAAACTGGCGACGAGGATGTGTGACATGGACCCCGTTCATGT